TGGGCAGGTCAGGGCATGACAGGAAGGGGGCTAATTGCCAAGCTTGGCATAGATGAAAGAATGCCAGCTTGGCGATATTTGTGACCTGGGCCTCCCTAGGCATCCAGGATCACACCCAAACTCCTGACAGATTGTGCCAGCACAAGTGGTGCCCTGTCAAGAGTGGGAAATCTATGCCCTGACCCTGGGGGGGGGGCTCCTGCCCCCGCTCCCCAGTCACAGAACCTCCAGCTTTGTCAGATTCAGTCTCAGCCTGAAGTTTTAAAGTTCCAGGCCAAGATATTAAAAGTAATCTATATCACCTCTTCCTGACAATGTGGCAAATGCCCCCTCCCCCTCATGTTTTGCCATCTTCATCTATCAGCATAAATGGCAGTGCTTCTGTAACAATTCCTTGGTTTTGGTGTGTGTGTGTCTCTTTAAAAGTTTGGTTGCATGGCGGTGGTAAGTAGACTAGAGTGGTTGAGAGAAGCCAGTGTGGTATGATTGGTGGTTGACAGAGAGGGGGGGGGGTTGGAAGTGAAAATGAGTGGATGAGTATGAATGTCAGTCAGGAGTGACAGTTACAAGTTTGACAGTTGATAAGTTCAGTTAGTTCTATGTGGGGAATGAGTTAAACAAGCAGTTAGTTCTGTGTGTGAGGGAAGGGATGAAAGCTTAATTGAAGACAAGTTATAGGAAAGGCTGTCTTGGAGAGAAACAGTAAACATATATGACCTTGAGTTAAAGTGATACAAAGTTACCTGAAAGATCCCTGTCAGTAAGGGAGCAGATTGTGTGTGATACACAAAGCATTTGTTCATGATTTACTCCTTACTGGTTACATTGTTCTACCCTTTTATTTATGAATTACTTCAATAAATCCTCTTTTATTGAAGTATACCAGCTCTGAAAGAAATACTTCCTCAGGACCACATAGTTCCTCATAAGCCTTGAACTCAGACTACCTAACTAGTAAGAGCAACAGTAAAGTATAAAGGTTTGGAAAGCCTTAAATTTCCTGGTGGCAGCCGTATATACCTAGTAGAATAAAAAAAAGAACAATTTTAAAGGGAAACCAGTCCTCCCCAATAAGGAGGACGTCACAGCTTCTTCTCAGGAGGATTTTTTTTTTTTGCCTGACTGCCTCATGAAGGTGTAAATCCTTTCAGGCTGGTAGCCCCTTTGTGTTATTCATGACATCCCACATTCCCCTGGCACAACAGATCCCAGATCCTTGATGGACTCAGGGGTGAGTGTGTGTGTTAACCAAAGGGCAACAGGGGCAGCTACTCCAGGCTCCATGCTTGGGGGCCTGAACGCTCATGGCCCCATCCCTCCCCTAAAGGGGAAAAGAAGAAGACCAGACTCCTGCCACTGTTAGCACCTGACTCATCTCAGAGTTGGGCAGAGCTGTCTTCCAGTGACCACAGTGGCTCCCTCTAGCTTCACACTGGGTGTGGTGCAGGGGCAGCAGCGGAATGAAAGTGATCCTGGGGCCCCATCCTTGACTTTTGTCTATGCATGGATTTAATCCCGCTCACAGTGCAATCCTAAATAGAATTATACCACAGAAGCCAATGGAATTAGACAGGTATAAATCTCTCCGTTAGTCTCCTATGACAATTTGATTCTACTGTACAAAGACCATTTTGCCAAATGTCTTAGCCAGTTTTTATCTGATTAAGGGTATGGACCCAGTTTCTTTGGATCTGCTCATGATAACTACAATGTGGCTGTATTCATTGCAGATGTAAGTTCTTAAGATCAGGGTATTAAATCCAATTCAAGTACTTAGCTGCTCCCAGCATCACAGCCACAGAATTCCTCATTCTCTGTATACATATAGTAAAGTAATAGTTTATCATGACTGCCCCTACAGTTTAGTTTCTGCCTTCTGCAGAAATGATTTTCACATCACCGGACAGCAAAACCACCATGCAAACAAGACTCTTCGAAGAGTTATACTTCATGCCAAGAATAAGCCAGGCTTTTCTTGAGTTGATCCCAGTATAAATCTCTACATTATGTTGCATATCTACCCTAAGCAGCACATGGAGTCTTTAGGAGATAGAAATGCACTGGAGAGAAATTTTTTGTTGAGTCATATGTCATCCATTCATTGCATTGTCCAGTCTACCCTCCTTCTAGAGTAGAACATTTGGGATGATATATCCATTTGTGACCAGCACATTCAGATGAGTTCCTCAGTTGCCTCTGGTGATATGCCCCCAGATTCTTTTAAATATTACTGAGACTTTTCTGCAACTAATTGTAAATTTGTACTAATGAATGATCATAGCCGTGGTAAAGCAGATTCTAAAATACATTACAGGAAAGTGAAAACAGGAGCGAGGGAGCACCTGAAACGTTACACAGGAAATGAGTCACTGCAAAGTAAAGCTACTGCATCTCATTATCTTTATCATATATAGTTTTTTACACTGGCAATAGGAGAAAACTATATTTCTAACCAACACAGGAGACTGTTTTTTCCTGTACTTCCACTATGCCCCCTAATGGAGGAAAGGTAGAATGCCTGAGAGAGTAAGCCAGCACCGCCATCCTGCTCCTTAAATAAAGGGAAGTCTTGTGGCACCTTAATAGACAAGATCGTACTCCAGCATAAATGTTTATTGGACTACAGCCCATAAAAGTTATTGCTGGAGTAAAACCTTTTAGTGTATCTTTATGATTCCTCAGACTCAAGAAGCCCCCGTTCTTGAATGATTGCCACTACTTAAGAACATGTTTATTCAGATACCATTTAGGCAAAAATGGGGTTTCTCAGCATTGTCCAGTTAACCTTTGTTAGTTTACTAATTTACCATTTAAGAGAGTTTTGCTGAATAAGTGTGATTTCTTAGATAGTCAAATGGATCCTCTTTTCTTTTCAAGAACAGCCACATAAAATATGCTCTTACACCACTTTTTTAAATTAAAAGAGTAGTAAATTGAACTGCATCCCATTGCTTCCTCTAAAAAAAGAAAATAAATAGCAATATTTCAGATTAATTATCAGTTCATGACGTGTACATTCAGATGAGTTCCTCAGTTACCTTCGGTGACTTGACTTGAAATCCTTTAAAATATTATTGAGACCGTTGTGCAACTGACAGTGTAATTCTAAACAGAATGACATCATATTAAGTCCACTGAAGCTAATGGGATTCCAATGGTATAAGTGTATTTGAGATCGCAACTACAAGTCATAGCACCTACTCTGGGTGCTTTAGTTCATCACTGGAACTTGCAACAAGATAATGAAGATTTGAATACCTCCAAGCATGTGCTGAGTACATTTTTTCTTAAAACCTGCTTAAGACAAGTAATCCATTCATACATAGGCTCAAGGGATATAGCTCTGAGATATACTTTTCTTTCATAGAAATGATTGAGTTTAGTTTGCCCCAAGGCCAAGAAACACCTTTCATATACACAGAATTTCATAGAACGGTTCATTTTAAAATTCAGAAGGCCAGTACTTATAATGGATGCACATTAGAATTTAGCTCTGGAATACAAGTATATCCAAGAACATCTGCAATGCATAACTTTCTTAGTAATGGGGTGTCTGAATTGGGGGAGGGGGAGGCAGAGCTTCTAGGTCAAACAGTATTTGTTCTCTAGGCAGGCCAGGTGCCCAATATGTATCTTTTAAGAAATTAAATATTTTCTTTCTAAGTGTACAGTTATCTTTGTTCTTTTTTCATAATTCTCTCCGAGTCATCTGATCTACAGAGAAAAAAAATAGAAATATATGTATATGGGAGCATGTGGATGGTTATACAGATATCAGTTACCAGGACACACAGCGATAATATATCTCTGTAAAAAGAATGCATAATCTATATCTACATGCATAATTGCATCTGAGAAAGTTTAGGAACTCAAGGTCCCAGGTTCAAAGAATACCACTGCCTGTCTAGCTCACCTGTTTCACAGGGATGTTGTAACTGAGAATACAATGCCCAAAAGATACCTTTCATATACACAGAATTTCATAGAACGGTTCATTTTAAAATTCAGAAGGCCAGTACTTATAATGGATGCACATTAGAATTTAGCTCTGGAATACAAGTATATCCAAGAACATCTGCAATGCATATCTTTCTTAGTAATGGGGTGTCTGGATTGGGGGAGGGGGAGGCAGAGCTTCTAGGTCAAACAGTATTTGTTCTCTAGGCAGGCCAGGTGCCCAATATGTATCTTTTAAGAAATTAAATATTTTCTTTCTAAGTGTACAGTTATCTTTGTTCTTTTTTCATAATTCTCTCCGAGTCATCTGATCTACAGAGAAAAAAAATAGAAATATATGTATATGGGAGCATGTGGATGGTTATACAGATATCAGTTACCAGGACACACAGCGATAATATATCTCTGTAAAAAGAATGCATAATCTATATCTACATGCATAATTGCATCTGAGAAAGTTTAGGAACTCAAGGTCCCAGGTTCAAAGAATACCACTGCCTGTCTAGCTCACCTGTTTCACAGGGATGTTGTAACTGAGAATACAATGGCCAAAAGATACTGTCACCTTATAAACCTATTAAAGCCAATAAGCTCAGAAGGGTGTTAATTCTGTTTAGGACTGCATTGTAAATTGACGGTCTTGGTCTCCGACTGATAGTGATAATCCTCCTCACTTGGACTTGGAAGGAAATCCCCCGGAATGGATTTGGGATGGGATGCTAAATGCTTTGTTCCGTTTTGAAAAGGTCCCATCTGGCTCTGTTTCTCGCACTCAGCGGAAACACTTATGCATCCCCCCCCCCCCCCAAATCTGGATCTGCGTCAAGAAGAGCCAAGCAGCGCAGCGCAATTAATGAAGCGCGTCAGTTTCACTCCGAAGAAGGGGGAAAGCGATGGTGGTGGAGGAGGAGAAGGAGGAGGAGGGGCGGTGGTGGGTGGGTGGGTATCTCATTAAAAGGCAGCGGCTGATGTGTGCTAGTGACATCAGCCCCCTCGCTTTATATACTTAGGGAATGGGCCAACGTTCCCTTTACGGTCCAGATCTTCCTAAAGCAACTCCAGGCAGTTGAGGGGGAAAGCAGCAGCCGGCCCTCTGTCTTCTCTTTCTCCTCTCTGTCCCTGTCTGTCTCTCTCTTTCTCTCGCCTCTTCTCCTTTGTTTGTATGGACTTTACTTTCTAGAGGGGAGAGGATGGCAAAGCTGAGGATGCAGCTGGTCTGCGCGCTGCTGCTGGCATTCGCCTCGTGGAGCCTGTGCTCAGGTAAGCTCCGTTTCGCAGTTTCCACCCGATCGGGAGGGTCTTGCTGAGGAGGACTCTGAGCGGTTTGGGCTAAGTTGGAAGCATGGGAGGAGTTTGTGTGGACAGGTGCAAGAGACACGCTGGTCAATTTCAAAGGTTAGGAACTGAAATCAGCGGTTTGTTTTCGGTTTCCTCTGGAAGGAGCTGTTCGCCTCATGCATTTTTTAAAAATTGATTTAATTAGGTGTTTTTAGGAACTGGGTTCCCTTCCCTAGTTTCACGAGAAATACTTTTCCCCTGTGTCTCTGCTGTTTCGCTACCGCGTCTCTAAGCGACTTCTCTGTAGTTCTTTAAAACTGATCAGCGGCACTCAAAACGCCTACTACGCAGCAATCTTGTAACTGTCAAGGAAGATCCTTACAGGACGGGGGGGGGGGGGGAGAGAGAATCACATCTTCAAACCCAGTAAACGATTGCTATGGATTAGCTAGGTCACATCATCCAAACCCATCCACGTGTATACACTGAGTGCTCATTCCCTGTGTATAGAGAAAAGAGAATCCCATAGTATCAAACAACAGAACCAATCTTAGATTAGAATCCAAGTATAGTCAAAGATTTCCCCTGGGTAGTTAAAAGGGGGGGGGGGAGGGGGGAAGAGATTCTAATCAGACTAGAACCCAAATATAGTCAGATTTGGTATCTCACATTTACCCTTTTTGGATCTTTTCCCCATTCCCCCCCTTTTAGCTACCCAGGAGAATACTTTTCCCAAAAGAGCAATCCTAAACAGGGCTACTGTGTATTCTAACAAGGCTTTACTCCAAGAAAAGTATGTCAGGTTGTATTGTCATTTGCCCCATTGATGAAATAGTAGTGATCTGCTTTATAAATGGTTATGGGAATGAGTAATACGGAATGTTCTGTTACCTACTTCTCCTTAAGGATAAGGCATACTGCCAAGATAACAAAAGTGAATATTCTTTCTAAAATTGTGGGCAAGTAATATTTATCATGACAACAACCTGCTTATTTCATGTCATAGAACCATGTCCTTCAATTGCTGCAACCTATCAATGGCAGTTATTTCATGGGAAGTTAAAGGATCAGAGACAAATAATCTAATGGGAAATGAAAAACTATTGGTTAGAATAAAGTGGGTGAAGATTGCCTTACATAAAGAGAAAATTGGGGCATATTTGTAATTTGATAATTCTTCAAAGCAGTCCTCTCCATGCTGTGTCCAACCAACTGTTTTTAAATCCCCAAGGACACAAATTCTCTTAAAGGAGTCACCACATTTTGAATGTTGTTATATAGTGTATAGAGGTCCTATTAGACACATTATACATAGAGTGGAATGGATTTAGTTCCTATCACACTGCCATGTGTTTCAAAACCCATTATCACTATTCATGAAACATTTTATGAAGCAATGTACAGCAAAGGTACACATTTTTCAGATCAAATTAAAAACTTGCAGCACATTTTCATGAGCAACAATATGTAGCATCACAAATTCAAATATTTATGCTGTGATCTGCATTCTTCACTGTAACTTACAATATGGTACACAATTATAGCTACTGAAGCTTCATTTAAAACTGAACACATTAAATTCTATGCTAAACTTTGGCCCACTAGTCTTCCAAAACAAGTGGGTATAAGACTGTATTATTTATTCAAATTATTTTAAATCAAACATCAATAATATATCATGTACTCTTATCTGAAGAAAGATGCCAAACAGAAATTTATATAAAGCATACTGCATGTATCAATAAAACAATTTTGCCTTTAAAAACAGCTGTTACAGGTTGCACTGTTAAAGAAAGTTGTATAAAAAAAGGATATCTGGATCTAATTAAATTGACAGGAATTAGTATTTGTATTCTCACTGGAGAAGATCCTGATGCTGGGAAAGATTGAAGGTCAAAGAAGACTGGGATGGCAAAGGATGAGATGGTTAGACAGTGTCATAGATGCGACAAACATGAAGTTGAGCAAACTTCAGAGGATGGTGGAAGACCAGAAGGCCTGGCGTGATCTGGTCCACAGGGTCGCGAAGAGTCGGACTCGACTTTGTGACTGAACAACAAGTATTTGTATTGGAACAGAATAGATTATTATATAGATGGGGACCATGTTCTAAAAGCAATATAATATTTTAATTTTAAGTATTTCATTTTGAGAACCAAGTAGTTCCTCCTCCCTGATTGCACCCTGGGTACTGATCCAGCTACTGATTCCCATGACAAGATTCAGGACATAGCTAAATCTTTCACTGAAATTATTGGGATAGTAAGAAGAGGCTGACTTGGACCAACTGCCATCAACCTCACTAGGGTTTGAATCATAACTAAATATACTTAGGAGTGGGGGGAAGTCAATCAGACTTGTGTACATGTGTTATCTGTAACCAAGTTGCTTCCGACTTATGGCAACCCTATGAATTAATTACCTCAACAGGCTTGCTCAGGTCTTACGAACTGACGGCCTTGGCTTCCTTGATTAAGTCAACCCATCTCATGTTGGGTCTTTCTCTTTCCCCGCTGCCTTCAACTGTGCCTAGCATTGCTGTCTTTTCCAGTGACTTGTCTTCTCATAATGTGACAGAAGTACGATAGACCCAATTTAGTTGTGTTAGATTCTAGATATTGTTCAGGCTTGATTTTATCTAGAATCCACTGACTTGTCTTTTTTGGTGGTCCACAGTATCTGTAAAACTCTCTTCCAACACCATATTTCAAAGGAATCAACTTTCGTCCTGTCAGCTTTCCTCATGGTCCAACTTTCACACCCATACATAGTAATAGGGCAATACCATAGTATGAATTATCTTGCTCTAGGTCTCCAGCAACAGTTACTTACACTTAAGGATCTTTTCTAGTTCTTTCATGGCTGCCTTTCCAAGTCACAATCTCTTTTTGGTTTCTTGGCTGCAGTTTTACTGTTGATGAAATAGATGGGGACTAGGTTCCAGTATGATTGGAAGTATCATTCCTTTCAATAAATCCTACAAGTGATCCACAGCTGGCTGATTGGGAATAATACCAACACTTTAAAATAGCGTAGACCCCCCTGAGGAAGCACTGAGCAAAACGTGTTGGGGCACATCAAGTGAATAAAATTTATTCCCATGGCACCATGGTTTTGTTTCTTCATTCCTTGGCTTCATTGGTGTAGCCCTTCTTCTTGCTGACTTCAGTGAAATTAATAATGCAAATATAAATGTCCTGATGTATCACTGGCAACGTTTAATCATGTGCATGGTCTGGGCATTTTTCATATATACAAAAGCCATTCCTCATTCTTTTGGGGTTCTTTTTGCATTTGTTCCTTAAGTAATTTATCACCATTGCATTCAATAAAAGTGTTGGTATTGCGTTTAAATACCAGGGAATTGCATCCAAAAGGCTGTTTTCCATATGCTACACATTATTTTGATTAAAGTCCAACTAATAACAATTTTAGGACATACCATGAATAATACTAGAGTGAACTTAACAGCTAAGCAAATATAATCAATGCAGTATTTATGCTTAATGACTGTTTATTGTTTACAATTACTGATCCCCTTGAAACATTTTGGCCTGAATCCAGCAAAAATCAGCTATCGTTTGGCACATTGAATTCAATGGAATGAACTAATTACAACTAACTCTTGTTCATATGACATGGAATCTGATCCTATCTATATATATCAATAATGTCCTATATATATTTATAAGTGATCATGTTCATGTTGTTGAAAACTTAGTCACAATGGTTCTTGCTTAGATTGGGGCCAGTTAAAATAGATTATTGGTCTGGAATATAATAAAATTTGCTTCTGCTATTCAGTACAGGGATATACAGGGATATATTACTTCATACTTATGCTTTTCCTTTTCAGGCTGACCCTCCCTTGGGAAGTAAAACTCAAGACTTGCTAACATGGTGACTACCAAGGGTCACACACTTTTATAGAAAACCATAAGTCCCATAGCAATCATAAATGTCTTTCCATCTTACTCATATTGATTGGTTTAAAAAAAAAAGACACTGGATCTGCATAAATAGATTAAGCATATGCATGGTTAAAAAAAAGAATTCCAAATTTTCACAGAGAAGAAATATCCGCTAACTGGCAGCCATTGAGATCCTTTAAAAATAAATCAAGCTGTTGAATTAAAAAAACACACACACAAAAGCCAGAAGCTACCTTTAGCACTTTATACACTCGTTAAACTCAGTAGGAACTTGAAATAATTACAGCTAAAGCTAATCCCACCCAACAAAACCAGCAGGTTCTCCTTGGTTCCTGCTAGTGATGATCAAGCCCTAAAATGCTGCAGTTGACCAATAATAAGCTACTTTCATTCCTAGATTGCATTTCCCCCAAGAGAGTGTATAAATCAGAGAACATATATTAAAGAACAAAACACTTGCCAAGCATTGATTGTTGCCAGTGCTTAAACCTGAAATCTCTTTAAAGGATATCTTTAAATCCTATGTGTTGAAACCCAAATGCTGGTGATTTACAATGGAATAGTAAACATGTGTTTCTGATTAACTTGCAGATTCAGAAGAGGAAATGAAAGCCATAGAAGCAGATTTATTGACCAATATGTATACATCAAAGGTAATGCCCCCATCACTCCTGAGCCACAGAATGCTTGAATTCTCACTCCATACATGAATGTTTTGGCATACCATTATAAAGCACAAGATAAACCTAAACATTAGTGCATGATATTCCCAATTGTGCAAAATTGTCTTCCAGTTCCAGGACCGTAAAAATCCGGGTGAAGGGATGATTTGAATCACTTTTCCATTCACTGACCAACTATGCTGGAATTATGAAGCTATGTAAACTCATTAGCAGAAAAAATATTTCAAGCCTGAATAGTCTGATAAATGCTAAAGTAATGCCAAATCACATAATAACCCTTTTCTAGATGTATAGCTTACATTCTTAGGTCCACTCAAAAGCAGTTGGCTTTATCTGTATAACAACATATGCTTAATGATAATCAGAAGTTAAAAAAACCCCAAACAATAGTTCCAAGAGTACCAAATCAGTAAATTATGTTGTTGTTTTTTTCATTTTGGGAATAAGATATCTTTTGTATTTTATTTTAGATATATAATCTCAGGAAACATGTCAAAATGTAGAACACATGCTTTGACAGGCATGTAGCCAAAAAGTATGCTTAAGTATCTCATGTATGTGGGAATGAAAACAACCTAATACGCTGCTGTCAAAAGGATTTATCTTGCAGACTCCAGAGTGGCATACTTGATATCCAGATGATTGCCTTTCCCCCCAGAAATAAGGAAAAGATAACTGCATGTTTTGGAGAACCATATTCAATATTATAATTTTTCAAGACAACATCTGAAGTATGACCAGCCCATATGACTTTTCAAAATCAGATGAAAGGTTTATCGAGTCTGCCAGTCTGACTGCCAGTGGCCAGTCAGGGGGCCCTACTAAATCCATTTTAATTTAATTCGCTCTAAAACATCCAGATTATGTAAATTAGCTTATGATACAGTTTTTAAAAAAAGCTTGCAAACCATTTTCAGACTAATTACAAAGATTTTCTCGGTGTCCAGGGTATAATATTTAAGTTTGACAGATTGGCAGCACAATCCATAACTTAAATGTCAAGGCTTGAATTTAAACCAGATTGATTTATGACTTCTCTGGTTTTGTACTCTGCTGAAGACCAAAGAACTGTTTGCAGAAGAAGAAAAATACAGCAATTTGTTTCAGCTTGCCCCTTGAGGGGAAACCCCCCCAAATGTCATTGTAATTTGAAATCCTATTTCTCCTGGTATCTACAGTTGGTGAACTTCTTCAAAATGCTTTGTAATAGAGTAATATTGACTGGTTCCACACAGTGATTGTTCCCCACATGGAAAGCAGGAACCTCATTCAGGGCACTGTTTGTGGTATTCCTGGGGCTGTCCGCTTTAAAGTGTAGAGAGAGAGAAAAAACTTTATTTTTTTCCCCTCCAGGTTAAAAGGGGACCTTCAGGGAGCTGTAGAGGAGTGTATGTCACCACTGTTTCCATCCACTCCCACACTATGTGCAGCTGCTGGCACGGGAGAGGCATCTTTGTGTACTCCTACTTGAATATAGCAGGGTGGATCCTACCCCTGTCCTAACACTCCACTAAGAAAAGGCTGAAGCCTTCCTCCAATTTAAGAAGCACTTAGGCTGGAGGAAGGCTCTTTGGAGGATGGTAATAATAATGATCATGTGGCATTGTGTGTAAAACAGCCAGGAGATCCTAAGATTGTCCGGCAGGCAAGAGTTCTAGCTCTTTTAGCATTATGCAGTGAACTAGACTTTTTTTTAAGGCAAGAGAAATTTCAGAGGTGGTTTGCCATTTTTCCTCTGCATCATGACCCTGGTATTCCTTGGAGGTTACCCTTTAAAATACTAGCCAAGGCCGACCCTGCTTAGCTTCTGCAATCTGATGGGATCAGGCTAGTCTGGGCTATCTAGGTCAGGGCTAGTGTGTGGTAGATCTCCTTCAGACACTGACAAAGCAATGGAATTTTTAGTGGGAGTTGTATTATAAATTCTGTTTTCTTGCATACTTTACTATCTTGCAGAATTCATCAAGGTAAAACCTCAGTACAACTTTGGAACCTATGCTAGAGAAAAAGGATCTTCCAGGGTATTGCTTATTACCATACAAACTTGATACTTTTAACCACCGTACATAATTCACTGCATCACTATATTCTGGAATTTTTTTGTTTGCTGGTTTTCATATATTGTAGACAGTTTTGTATGAGAGAGTTTGGCAAGAATTTATGAGGAAGTAAAAGTCTCAAAGGAAAGGATTGTAAAAGAAAGGGTGCAAGTATGAACATCAAATGGAGTCATTGTGCTACTGCAGGGCTCTGGGCGATCTACAACAGTAAATAAATACATAAAAATTCTACAATTAAAATACAATAGTAAAGTTAAAACTCCACATGATGAACTAAAACCACCCCCCATTCCAGACTGATATAAAAACACACTGAGAATTTCTTTCTTTCCTAGATTTTATCAGACCCCCCTCCACACAACATATTTCCAGGATTTTGTTTGCAGCAATGAGGACTGGGAACACGACTAAATAAAACAACAGATTGTCGTCATTCTGCACAGTCTTTTGCATATTGTGCTCTTCAGTGTAATCACCAACATGCGGATTGTCAGAGGGTGTGATCACAGGAGCAATTTGACCTGACATAGCTACCCCTCCAGATTAAATGGGCACAGTCACACAGCCGAATCTGTCAGGCATTCTCCAGGCATATTCACCCCATCGTAGGATGACTTGGAGCTGAGTGAAAAAAAGCACCACATCACAAGTGGTGTTTTCGATTCCCTGTGCATTCATTGTGTGTGGCTGGATGTCTGAAGGCGGGGGAGCACACACAAAATGGATTGGCGGTCTGAACCTGCAGATCCAATCCTACTGCTGGGGTGTGGGTTTTTTTTTTAGAGTTTTTGCCTATATGTGCATGAGCGCATGTGTTCATATGCCCATGAATAAGCACATATTTGCGTGCATGAGCACATATGCACCAACATGCATTTTAAAAAAGGACCTGGCAGAGCGCTCCATGGCTGAGGCACTGCAGTAATGTGGATGCTTGACCAGGGGATGGCCGCATGGGTAACCCACGGCAAGGTGTGCTGTCTGGATGATATGCCCCACAACATTTTAAACTAGTACAATTAGAGGTGGTGCCATATTGCGCCAAGCCTCCAGTGCAATTGCACCCAGAGAGTACTTTATACCCTGTACTTTCATAGTAAGAAAGGGTCCTTTCCTTTCCTTGTGAGAAATTGATGTGTTATAAAGCCTAATCAGTGTAATAGCATTGCTTTCATATATTATTTCCAAGTTCAGTCTTAATTTTATAAGTATTTTGAAAATCATAAGGTTTTGTCTGTATCTTGATTCACTTCTCTGGTTGACACATCTCTATTTTTTGAGATTCCAGCCAGGAACCACTTTGTTCTGTATGTATATAGGTATAGTATACATATAGTATATTTACAGCTTCCTTTGTTCTAACAAGAGGAATTAAAACTTTTGCCAGCACTTCCAGCCATCAGTTGAACAACTTCTTTTAAAAAATCTAAAGATGAAGAAATGTTGGTAAAACATTTAATTACTTTTGTGTAATAGCTGTCCTTTCACACGAGGCATTCATCACTTTCTTGGCATTAACCTAGCCCAAAGGGGAAGTGATTTTGTTAGAGCAGATTATTTCAAGGAAGCTGTCTTCAGTGTAATTTTAGACAGATAAAATCTGCATTTGGACAATTAAACTGGACTGAAATTTTCATATTTGTATTAGACTCAGCCTTGTTAGAGAAGATGATCAAATCTCAATTGAAAGGGAAACTGCTTCCATCTCTGACCAGATGGAACTTCAAGATCGAGCATTTGTAGCTTGATACTTGTAGCCAATGTACATATCCTGCCAAGAAAATAAAAACATTTACCAAAAAACAAAACAATATATTGATGCCCGGGGATTTAACTGGCTCTAGGCAATGTCATGGCTTTATAATAAAGATGGGAATTATTGCCTATATGGAAGCAGAATGAAAGAAGCTTTATTACCCAGAGTGTAGATGTTCATTTCCCCCACAGTCATCTCTCATTAGATTTTTGAAGCACAGGTAAAAAAACCAGTAAAACATAACAATAGAAATATCATGTGTGTCATGAGCAATGATACCTCTTTCACACACACCCTTCAGCTCTTTGATTAAACTGTAGATATCTCACAAATAAAACATACCTGAGGATGGCATATCTCTCATACTGGTATGTATATCCTTTTGGATGAATTCTCCTGCCTGTATTCACAAGCCTTCGTGAGCTTATGAATCCAACAGCAGAAAGGGCCAAACTCTATCATGTAGACAATAGTAGAAAATGAAATAAGAGAAGACAATACAAATTCATTCTGCTTTGGTTTTCAGCATCAAGCCTAAAGTAAAATGGCTGGTGTCATTGCTACAGCCAAACTATTTCCAGAATGTTTTTTTTTTTTAATTGTGACTCTTTATATATTTTCCAATTCAACTGGAAAGAAAGAAAGAAAGAAAAGCACAAGGTGGTGTTTTTCTAACCTTCTCCTCTCAAGTGGTTTCAAAATTCACCCAAACTATGTAAACTGACATTCTGAAATCAGACTTTTATATTGACTTCTAATGAAGATAACAGTGGCAATACCTGTTCTGAGCATTAATTAACACATTCTACAAACCCTAAGATTCAACAGAAGTGAAAACAGAAACAGAAAACGAGGGTCTTGATATAAATTGCTCACAATGCAAAGTTCAGTCAAGTATCGGGTTTCACAAGGCTCTTCAACAGATTTGAGCCTTCATATCTCTCATCCTGGATGATCTAAGATTATTTCATTACTTTGAAATTGCCTTTTGAATATCTGTCCTGACCTGCATGGCCCAGACTAGCCAGATTTCATCAGATCCCGTAAACTAACAGGGTTGGCCCCAGGGCCGGATTTAGACTTGCTGAGGCCCTAAGCTATACAAAACCCAGAGGCCCCCTACTGTTTTAAATTACATCAGCTGGTCTCAGAAAAATTTAAAATATATATGCCTTTTTAATATTTGAAATCATTTTTTATATTGTTTTTTTATTCGAGGCCCCAGCAGATTGCGAGGCCCTAAGCTGTAGCTTATTTAGCTTATGCATAAATCCGGCACTGGTTGGCCCTGTTTAGTACTTGGATGGGAGACCACCAGGGAAATACAGAGCTGCTACACAGAGGCAGGCAATGGGAAACCACCTCTGAACATTTCTTGTCTTGAAAACCATACAGGATCACCACAAGTTACCGTAAATTGATAATTCAACTGACATTAAAAATTGTGACATAAGAAACTTGGTGATAGGCTGGCTTGGATGCCATTAGAGAATCTTCATGCTTTGTAAATAGGGGTAAACCTGCTAAGAAACTTGAGTTACAATAGTTTTGTTATTTAAAGTAGAAGCAATTTATGTGAAGTGCTTCTATGATGAGAGGAAGGCATTCTTTATTGCGTCAACTGTCAAAACGAAGACTCACTCTCACTTTGCATGGGAGACTCTAAGTTTCACGGTTCTGAACACTGAGCTTCAGTGTTTCTGTTCTGGTCAGTGTCACCTCTACTGAACATTTCTAAAGAAGGTCATTGACACTTCAGAGACCAGGTTATTGGCATCAAAGGGAAACACTTTACTGACTATATATGGGGGCCTTTGAAAGCCAATTCACATTTTGCAAAGCAGTTTGCCATGAATTTTGTTAAGCCATTTGGTTTTATGTAGTGCATTTTGATCTTGGCCTTCAATGAGTTTTGCAGACTCCTAGCTTCTTATATACAGAAGAACTCTTTATAAATTGCCAGCCCCTTTAACTATTAAAATAAATGCTGCCACCTCTCTGCCAGTAAATAACAGACTTTGCAAAAGAAAGCTAGCTCACATTTTGAAAACAAAGGCTTAGGTCAGGGCAATATAATGCATGTAGAACAACATGTTTGTACTAACAGCATAATTAAGTTTTATGATTCAGGTATCTTACAATTTGGGGTAGGGTGGAATATATGGAGAATGACATGTGTGCATTCCCCACTCATACTGCAGTCCGCCAAACCTCCTGAAATTCTATTTCTGGAGGTCAACTGACCCTCAAGGACAGCATGGGGGACAAAGTGGGAGTCCAAAGTGAGAGGAGAAAACCAACTGAAAGAGCTGCCACCATCTTCCACTTAGGGAAGTGCTGTTTTGCCAGCATAAGCGACAACCTTGGATCCTATCCAGGTTGTATGAAAATCCCATAGTGGATAGCAAATTCATTTTTTCCCCTTCAGTTTGGGGCTCTCATTGTTTCGTTTTCACCATAGATATAGTGAGTGGTAAGGGCACAGAGGCATCACTAGACACATTGAAAGATACAAAAATGTGGGATGTAGCAAGTACAACATCATATGTGTGAGTAGTTTGTAGAAAATACAGAATGCTCAAGTGCTTCCTGCATTTCTAGGGACACCAGTGGTTCTCTCAAGAGAACAAGTCATTTTTCTTGTGGAGAACATGTTGCTCCAACAAGTGCAATTTCATCTCTGTGGGCTTTGCAAACTTAGGCAGTTATACAGTTCTCATTGTGGGGTGATTTCTCACGAGAGCTGCCTCGCAGCACAGCGCTGTTTGCCTCGACACAAACGTGTCAATTTCACACCCGAAGCTCCGGGGCTGCATTTTGACTCGGGGCTTCGCCCGATTTCCTCCGCAGTTTCGTGATCCTGGTTTTTGAGGATCATGAAACTGCGGAGGAAATCGGGGGAAGCCCCGAGTCAAATGCAGCTTCGGGTGTGAAATTGACACGTTTGTGTCGAGGCAAACGGCGCTGTGCTGCGAGGCAGTTCTCGTGAGAAATCACCCTATGTATTTGCATAGTACTAATCCAGGAGTTTGCTTTCAACAGGAAAAAGATCTAGTAGCTGACAGATACATTCTCACATGTATCTGTGAGGACACTTGAAAAGAGTTGGATCTAATCATGGATCTTCCAGCATCTCATCTGTTCTGCCCCTTTGTTAAAATGTGTTTTAATAGATATATAGCTCAGTTATGATGGTAAGGACCAGCACCTTATGTTTACTTCATGCAACACAAAAGTATAGTGCAATAGCTCATTGCTGGTGGTTCCCCAATCCCACTCATTTCACACAAAAATGAGTTGAGAATTTTCAAACATTTGACATATTGGATTGAACCTAAGGGCTGTGTGTGATGCTTTTGCATCATATAATTACAGCATGATTATTCCAACCAGGGCAGGGTTCTTTGCTCTGGATTTCAATGCTACTGTGTACAGACTGTGCACTTAATTAATGCATTCATTGAAATAAGTAGCATTTGTTACATTCTTGATTTAAACCAAGAGCGTTTAGTCATTAAATGGTGCAAGCTGCCACAGTACATTTTTAAAGGAATGCTTTGGGTCTCTTTTATTGTGTCTCACCTTTTCCAAACCCCAAACCTGAATTTCATCCATTATCAGATATAATGAGGATTTTGGAGCTCCATAATTGGGTCCTACAACAATTATTTTAGTCACATAGAACACGAGACTATTTGTGATAGGGACTGAGGTCACGGAAAAGGGGAAGAGAAATCTTAACACTCCCTTTAGTTTGTTTTTGATTTAGTAGTATGGGGAAAATGGTCAAAGCAGTTTAGGGACAACATTTTTTTTAAATCTTGGAAACTGTGCAATGGACAAAATTAAATTCTCAATCCATGTTCCATAAACCCTATTCATATTTCCTTCCTGGTTTTGGTTTTTTTAAAAAAATCGGAAGAGGCAACATTGTGTGTACTCTGATAATCCTATCAAAAGTGGATTATGTTTTAATCTGGATAAACATAAAAAATGCTCTCTTAAATTATCCTATACTGTTTCACATGTTGAGTTTGCAGAAAAATTCTAAGATACCTCCAGCTTCTCTAATACTGCTTTGGCTTTTATTATCTGATACAAATATCTGTACATTTGCCCTAAGGGCAAAGAGCAGCTTCATGGAGCCATTTCAGGTCAGAAAATATCATAATTCCCCTTCCCTCATATTGTGGTCTTGATCTGAATTGGATCTGCACCTGCCTTCTACGTAAATAAAACAGTGTTCCATTCACAGAACTACTAATATGATCTAGCTGCTCCCCCCCCCCCCCATGGGAAAATGGGGAAAGAAACAATAGAAAAGTTTTCAATCCGACATTAAGTAAAGGTAATGTTATCTTCCTTTGAGTAAGGTCATGTTATTTTCCTTTGACTAAATAGAACCTCTGGCATTTATCCTACTAGTTAACCAGCAAAGTTTGATGCCTTCCTTCAGCCTAGGGAGCCTCCTCCAATGCAAATGTTTCTTTATCTAATGGGAGAACTACTTAGGCTGGAGGATACATGCCTCCAGAAGTAGGAATGTCCTAAGTTCCAGTGCAGATGGAAAACAACATGTGAAAGATCTGGCAACTCTACCCTGTAGTGTGATCTAGCATGCCTGCTCTTACATCAGTAATCAAGAAAGAAGCAGACAGATTTTGGGGGGAATGCACTACATTCAAAGCCTCTCCCCAGTGAATCACCAGCATGGCTTTCTACTGACAATAACATGTCTTGGCTCTTTACTTGTCCTTGATTGGGCAAAGGCTTGGAACGTACAGTTACCCATTCTGCAGACATGAATGCACCTGCTGAATCATTACCACACCACCCTGGATGACAATGCATACATTTTTCCAGCATAGTATCATGATAAAACTCATATGCTGTTGCCGTTTCATTTGACTAATATTCATGAAACAAAGTTTAAGCTTGAAATTGCAGTAGACGTCTTATTCAGATTCTCTGTCCAAGTTGTGACAATTTTCAATAATTAAGAGAGACACTTCAAAACAAGGTTAATTTGACATTAAACCTGTCCTAGCCTTGCAAGATAATTTGACAGTTTAATTATATCACTGAATGCAATAACAAATATGTCTAAATGCAACACAAAATGGCAGCAAAGAAAGAATGCACTAAGGAAACATGAGAGTTCAATCTCCATAAAAGCTATGTTCAAGAATATTATTCAGAAGACGTTCTTTTACATAACTTTGCTTTGTGCAGATTTAAGTGTCCAAGTACGTCACAGGGCTGGCCTGCTGGCCTTTCAGCTCAAAATGAATGAAATAGAAAGAACTGGAATCTACAGAATGGCACATGGAGCGACTAAAGCAGAGTTTATATTGATGATTGTTGGATTGGAAATATGTATACTTATGAAGTCCCTGTCTACAGATAAATGATAGAAGATCTCAGAGTGCTTGTGCCCCTTTAATTTCTTTGTACAAAGTTGGGTTTGTGGGAAGGAGGAACAACTGGCTAGTTTCTTCTTTCTCTCTCTTTTTGTTTCTCTTGTGGCAAAACTTTTCTATCCATTGGGAGGAATAGAGAAGATTAGCCACCAGCCAATGCTTCAATTTTTTTTTAATGTCTTGACTGTGGAGAGGAAGCCTCCAGGGTTCGGAGCAGTCAGAGTTGGACCACTTTGTATGTGCATCACCAGTCTCTCGAGAGAATGGTTTTATTATCTGAGATAGGGAATAAGTTTCCAAGGTTAAAAGTATCAAAGAATTACTTAGCCGATGACTCACTGTTATTGACCACCCCCACTGTTATTTGCAGGGTTAACATTTTTAGGAGCATTAGTGAAGCATCACAATATTTATAGGTGCTCTCCATGTAGCAGTCCCTGGACTCCAAGAATCCCTGCAACCTCTCCTTCTGTGAAGGACTGCTCACTCCACCCCTTGTTTGTTAGCAGCCGTCACCTCCTTTTTGTTTTGACAATATGCCTGTCATTCATTCCATAATGACTGATGATGGCCATATGACATACTGTGGATTTTGAATCTTTCAGATAAACAAGGCAAAGCTTCCTCCATGGAAAATGTCCCTTATAAACATTTGTGACCTTTTAAGCAACATAAACAACCAAGAACAGGAAACAGGTGAGGCCACAGAAGAGGACCTCCTTTCCAGAAGACAATTCCCTGATACTCTTGATGGCTTCAGTTTGGAAGCAATGTTGACACTATATCAGCTTCAGAAAGTCTGCCAAAGCAGAACCTTTCAGCACTGGGAGGTAAAACCTAGCTATGATACTTGAACATTCTAGTTTGTTTTGTATGTCATGTTACTATGGAAGAACAGTTTGAGCTGTTTACATAGAATATGATAGAAAACTAATTTCCAGCCATTTCATTTAGATTATACATAAGATTGTAATGCAAAATATATTCCATAGTTTTATCAGAAATTCTAACCTTTTTAAGTTCAGAGGAATTTTGTGATTTTAAATATAAATTATGAGAGGTACTTTATGGAACTTAATTGGAAACTAAATCTTATGAAATTATTTTTTATTGCTGGGTCTCTGTTTAATAGTCTGAGAAATAATGCTGCACAAGACACTAAAAATTGACAAATGCTTTCTCCTGAGTAACTAGAAATAATTCCTAAATTTGCTGTCCTAAGAGCAGGAAGAGGTGGCTGAGAGGGGAAAGGGGGACACAGAAGTACAACGAGAACTAAGTGGAATGAAATAGGCCAGTTTTATCGATTACAGGAGATGGAGAATTGGCATGATGTAGGACATGGATCCAGGCATTAATTGACCCACTTGTTGGCTGATAGAACCCTTCCCCAACCAGGGTGCTGGGGGGGTCAACTTGGAGTGGGTTGCCAGTGGCCCCACATGGGTGCAAGCCTCTGTGTGTTTCCCTTGCCACCTGGGCATGCCACTGCAAGGCTCAATCCCCAAGACCCTTTAAGGGGATCTCCACCTGGAAAGGAGGACAAGCAGGCACAGCCTCCTCCCAAATGGATCTGGCCTAATGCCGGAAACCGCCATAAAGCTGTGACAACGAACAGAGCAAAAGTAATGAGCATACTGAAAGCATGCACTTGAGGGAGGGAAGGGTGTTGGAAGTCAACTGAGCAACTGGGCAGTGAGGCCTTTAAAAGGGGAGGAGCAGACCAGAATGAAGCCTGCACTTCTCAGGTCCACTCCTAATACAGCCCCCCAAGGAGCACTCTAGGTGACTAGCAATTGGCTGGCATGCCCCGAAGGCCTCCCAAATGTTGCAGCAGGGCTCCAGCTCACTGCCGTAGCTGAAGACAGAACAGCCTTTCCTCATCTCACCACCCTGCCCTGCAGCTGCAAAACAGCCATTGGTAAATGTGTGGCCGTAATATCTATGTCAGGTACAAAAATGTCTGGGGCAAAGGGTGTGACATCTGGGCCTCTGTTCAACAGAATGAGAAATAATGCTGTACAAGACACTGAACAAGTGCCAAATGCTTTCTCCTGAGTAACTAGAGACAATCCCTAAATATGTCAAGTACAAAGACATCTGAGGGAAAGGGTGTGACATCTGGACAAGACTATTTTACATAATAAATAAATGGGTCAGACAGCACACTAAGTATGACATCCCAAAACTTTATTTAAGGGTAAAAAATTAGTTATGGGAGCAGACCTGATTTGGAGTGGGGTGTAGTACTGGATGGTGGAGGATAGGGATGGGCACAAACCGGGGAAATGTAGTTTTGTTCTTAATTCATGGTTCATGGTTGAACCACGAACTGAACCAAAAACTGAACTGGGAGGCTCTTTCAGAAACTGAACTGGTTTCTGGTCCTGCAAACCTCATTGAAAGGGACCACAGTCCCTTTAGATGAGGTTTGCAGAAAGCCTGAAAGACAGCTAAGTGCTCAGTTGTTTCAGGCTGTCTTGTCTTTTAAAGTTTAAACAGCGTGAAAAATAGCTGCACATCAGGGAGGTATTCCACACTGTGAAGCTCTTTTGGGCTCACTTCTGCAGTCCCTTTGAAGTTTAAATGGACAGCAGAAGACTGCTCGAAACATCTGATCGGCAGGGAGAGCCTCCCCACTGCTCAGCTGTTTGTGTGGCTTTTGCAGGGAACAGAAAGCAGGGGTTTAAAGAGACTCAGAGTCCCTTGAATCCCCTGCTTTCTGCACCATCCATGAACCACCACAAACTGTACAAGGTGTTCTAAAAGTTTGTGGAAGTTCATGAAACACAAACAGGGCAAAATTAATCACAAATTTTGCTTTGTGGATTGGTTCATGCCCATCCCTAGTACAGGAAGAGAACTCTTTCTCCTAAGCCACTTCAATACTAGATACTGGGTTCTCTGGAGCTGCTATTGAATGCAGTAAGGGGGAAAAGGCCTTGTTACTTTTGTTTGGTAGCTACAGTCTCCTCTACCTTGTCCTTCACCAACTGACAAAAATTAACACTGTAGAAAAGTAGTTTAGATGGGAATATTCCCATCTGAGCCCTCCAGAGGCAGAGTGCTTCATTAGTGAGAATGGGAGGGGAAAGATTGATGGCTTGACCCAGTGTTCAGTTTGTTGATATGCTCAGTTGTAAAAAAAACAAAACAGGGAATGAAAGCAGTAGGCTTGAAAAACCTGTAATACTTTTGGTATAGTTGTATCTGTTTTCTTCTCTGCTTTCATGGCAGCCATCAAGATGAAATATATAAATCACTAAATCATATTTACCAATATGAATGGTAAATATTGGCCCCGGTCACATGGAGAATTAGGTACATGGAGGGGATGGATTAAGGCCAGATCAAACCGGCATGATCAGACCCCAACATCTGGCAAGTGTCACACACCCGCCCCTAACCCGTCGCATCCGGCGGAAAATGTGGATCAAAAAGGTACTAGGGAAAATGGAGTACCTACTGGAAGATCTGCAGCAACAGTGGGCATGGGATCGCGGATGCGCCAGCAGCCCGTAGCATCCTGCAGCCGTCCGTAACCCGCACATGCACACTAATGCAGGACCGCCGTGTTGCCTCGCTGGGACTACACCGTTGCCTCCCCAGTGTGATCGGGTGCCGATGGAGGGAGAACGGAGCCATGGGGGGAGCATAAGATCGTGCTCCCGTGCTTCTTTTAGCTCCGCATCTAATATGCCTCCCTTCCCCGACGGATTTTCCCGCTCATGTGACTGGGGCCGTCATTACTCAAAATATATAATCTAAACCTATGTCCGTATAAACAATCTATTCAAATTATCATGACCTTTATAACTTACTGATCCTGAACAAATAGAATGGACCTTCTGAACAAACTGGAATCCTGACAGTCAACTATTTGGAAGTGGGTAGAGAAGAGGTAGTGATTTGTCCATTATAGAACACAGTGGTGAGACTTTAAAAGATGCAACCCCAGCTTCTGGATCAGGCTGCAGAGTTACTCAAAGTATCTGTTTCCACCAATTATTCCATATCCAGGCATGTGGCAATGTGTTTCTGCTTAAGTTCTACTTGGAACATGAGCAACTGGGCCATTGTAATACATATTTTAATAGTTCATTTGTATTCCATAGTGCCAAATATTTGAATGTTTTGAAGGGGTTAGGATGTGCTGTTCCTAACACACTGCTACTCCACTGGAAAACAAAACTCCCATATTTTCTTCTTCCTATCAACAGTTACTTCAGCAAGATATTTATGATCCAGAGAATTCAAGCCAAGATAAAGACCTGATGAAGAGAAAAACTCCTTACATTCTGAAACGGCAATTACATGTGAACAAAGCCAGACGACCATACATACTGAAGAGAAATTCATATTACTGACTCAGCAATTAAAGTAGTGCTTATTTAGTTTATAAGTAACTGTGTTTGATGGTTACCTTATTTCACCCTTAAATCTTGTGTGAGAAATATATTATGGAAAGTGATCAAGATGATAGCATAATTATGTCTTTTTTGCCACTGTTGTTTCTGGAGTGTGATTTTTCCTACTTAAAATTAATTGGACTAATATATTTACAAATAAATCTAGTTTCTAAGCATGATGTATTGTATACCACTGGGAATTTTAAACAAATGGAAAATTGTAATATAGTGTCTACTCTGCATCACCTCTTTTGTCACATTGAACAACAACAAGTTTTCGGAAAGCCATCACAAGGGTATTTCATAATTTGAGATGTGATGTTATTCGAATATAATAAGCAACTAAATCAGAATTTAAAGCCTGTTTTACATTCATAATTTCCTACAATTAGTATAGAATGCTTATTAATAAACTCATATTACCATAATAAGTCATATGTACATGCTAGATTAGACTGACTCATTATTTTTATTATTAATAATAAATTATACTCCACTTCCACCCACAGAAAAGTTCAAAGTGGCATACAATACAATGATAATAAAATCTATAAATTACCTGTTCATGAAAACAGTAGTAGAAGAATCTCCAACAAGAGCAGAAATAAGAATTACCCATACACACAAGGAAATAAAATGTCATTGTCCTGTTATCTGAATGCACGCAACGTATGTACCAGGCAGACTTGTTTGGGGAACCATGAGTGAAACCATGACTGAAAATGGAACCGGGTTTGATTTCTCACTCCTCCACATGCAGCTGCTGGAGTGATCTTGGGTCAGTCACAGTTCTCTCAGAGCTGTTGTCTCAAGAGCAGCCCTACCTACCTCATAGGGTGTCTGTTGTGGGGAGAGGAAAGGAAAGAAGATTGTAAGCTGCTCTGAGACTCCAAGTAAAGGGCAGGGTATACATCCAATTCTCCTCCTCCTCCTCCTATCTGCCTCATCACCAAGTGTGGTGAAATCCAGAGAAAGGCCATCCATGAAGATTTAGGTTAATAGGCACACTAATGTGGCAGAAGGCAATCCTTCATTCTGGGCCCAGACACCTTCTATTTATTTATTCATTAAAATATTCATACGTCGTTTTTGTCCATGGCTCAAAGTGGCTAATGAATTTATAGTTTAAACATACAGAGTATAATAGAACCTTAAATAACTCCCTCCCCCCATGCCTGCAAGCCTACACTGGTCAAGGTAGCTAGTTTAAGCTGGGTGAGATATGTTCGTGTGAGTAAATAATTGGGCTGTTGCATTCTGAACAAGTAGCAGTTAGGTCTTTGGAGGTTAAAACCAAGGTTTTAAATTGGATTAAAACACAAAGACAAAATAGGTATTGCATACTTATGGCCTCCCTTTCAGCAAATTGACAGTAGCTTTGAAAATCAGCAGGCGGTGGGTGGATGGGTTCTGGTGTCTTCAAAGACAGCCTTACGTGCAAATCATTACTGTAGTTTATTCTGGACATGATCAGAGCTTCAGTAAATGCATTTGAAGGATTACATTTGCTCATGATTGCATTTCATATTATGATGTTCCAATAGCACAGTTAATAAGTGGAAAAGATTAAAGCTTAATTGAAGGTCAGCGAGAACAGAAAATGGGACCATATTAAAGTAAAAAAATGTCCTTAACTGATGAGGACTTCTAACTTACAAATAAAATTTGATATTAGAATCTTAATAGTTTTAGAAAATTGCAAGATTTGGAACAGATTGTTGACCACATTCGGATACATGCATGCAATATATTTAAATGCTCTAAATATTTCTAAATCATCTATATACTATTAGTGATGTATGGCCCCCATTTGCAGATACCTAAATCCATGGATCGGGGCCATATGGGCTCTAAACAGATTTTTCAGCAAGCTTGGGGAGCTCTCCAGGTTTGCAGAAAAATCTGAAATGTTTAAATTTCTCCAAAAGTAATTAAAAAAAATACAAAAAACATTAAAAATGCACCAACCTTGCTTCTGCGGCAGTGGATGCCAGGGGCTGATCCTGGCCCTGCTGCAGTGGTGGCAGACACTGGGAACTCTTTGGGGCCCTGCTGTGGCAAAGGAAGCCAGGAGCTGCCCTGGGCCTGACCAGGGCAGCCACAGATGCCAGAAACTGTTCAGAGCCTAGCAGTGGCAGATGCTGGGAGCCACTCCCACTGCTGGCCTCCAAGGTGGGGGGGGGTTTGGGATGTACTCATGAAGGTTCAGAAATGGGGAGGAGATGGGGTTCCTCTTCCCTCTAGTTTTGCATCCCACCCTTGTCTATATATCAATAGCCAAATCTGAGGATACTAAAACCTCGTGACTGAAGCTTTGAAAGGGCAGGACAGATTCTTCTATGACCCCAAAAAGGACCCCAAATTTGCAGGGGGGAAAAGTGAAATCTAGGAAAAAAAGTGGAGGTTTTAAAAAAATCCAAAAATAATAGAGTGGTTGTAGCTTTAAGCAGCAATTTCCCTCAGTGGCTGTTGCCAGGACGCCACATATTCCAGGCTTGGTTCTGTCCATAAAAGGCAGGGGGAAGGGGTAGGGCAGGGCACCTTTCAGGCATAATTTAGTCTTTCAGGGAAGACTCGTGGGGGCCAGGCCTGGCTAGGGTTGCCAGCTCCAGGTTGGGAAATTCCTGGAGATTTTATGGTGGAGTCTGAGGACAGCAGGATTTTGGGAGGGGAAAGGCCTCAGCAGGATATAATGCTATAGAATCCGCCTTCCAAAGCAGCCATTTTTTCCAGGGGTACAGATCTCTGTCATCTGGAGTTCAGCTGTAATTCTGGGAGATCTCCAAGTTCCACCTGGAGGTTAGCGACCCTAGTCCTGGCAGCAAACTCTGCTTGACTCAATATCAGCTGACTTGCATGACTCAACTATGCCTGGCTGCTTGCTACTATTCAGCAGCAGCCACCCTATGAAAGCCAGCCTGGTGATGTGGTCAGAGTTTCAGAGTAGCACCTGGGAGACCCAGATTCAAATCCCCATCTTGCTGTGGAAGCTCACTACGTGATTTTGGACCAATCCCATAACCTAGGTGGTTCAGTAGATAAAAAGGAGGAGAGGAGAATAATGTAAGCTGCTTTGGTTCCCACTGTGGATAAAGGCAGGGTATCAATGAAGTAAATAAATGATAAATATAATTGAAGGTAGGAGGTAGATATAAGGGATGTCGGTGAATGGCTGAGAAGGACACAATGAGGCAGAAGAAGGGGAGAGAATATGGGGGTTCCCAGGGAGAGGGTGGATAGAGGAGAAAGTGAGGTGCCTCTCTACAAAACCTTGAGACCTTGCAAGTGGGCCTGGCCCAGTGGCTGACAACACAAAACTGGGATAGTTTACCTAGGTAGAGGCTGTTGAGGGAAAAGCTTAAGACAGTGCAGCAGGTAAAGGTAGGCTGGCTGTTAGGTGAGAAAAAGAAGAGTTACCAACTCCACATTAGGAAATACCTGGAGATGTGAGGAGTGGAGCCTGGCGAAGGTGGGTTTTGAGGAGGGGAGGAATTTCAGATGTGTATAATGCTATAAACGCCACCTTCCAAAGCAGCCATTTCCTCCATGGAAACTAGAACTGCCATCGTCAAGTTGGGAGATCACCTGGAATTAAAACTGATCTCCAGATGACAGAGATCAGTTCCCTTGGAGTAAATGGCTGGTTTTCAGGGTAGCCTGTATGGTATTATAACCTGCAGAGCTCACTTCCCTCCCTAAACCCTCCTTCCCAGGCCTCCACCCCCAAATCTCCAGGAATTTCCCTACCTGGAGCTGGCAACCCTAAAAGGAAACAGGAGACAGGGAGGTTCAATGGGGGCTTTAAGGAAAGGGAGAGAGGAAATGGTGGGGGAGGGGAAAATGAAATGCCTCCCTCAAGTCTTTGTGGGTTCCCAATTGTTAACTATAATTCTAGAGACCCCCTCCCCCATTTCATGGACAGTAGTTGTACATGGAGAGAATTTACAGCATGAAATCTATATATCTAATTCCCAAGACGCCCCCTCCGTGCGGATATCTAAATCCGCACATCGGGGGCACTTGGGGGGCAGGGAGATTTTCCTGCACATCTGGGGCAATACCCAGATGTGCAGAAAAATCTGAACACTTGAAAAAAATATGCAGGGGATATTTAAATGTTTAAATTTCCTCAAAAGTACAACCGCCAGGGAGGGAGAGGGGGCAGGAGAAGGCTTGGCTGGCCGGCGGCTGTAAGCCACTCAGGTGCTGCCGCCGGGGGGAGGGGAGAAAGTTTGGTGGGCCAAGCTCAGGCCTTGCCGCAGCCACCGCTAGGGGAGGGGGGAGGGAGAAAGCTTGGTCACTAATTGCATAGTGAATAAAAATAAATGGGAATACAGTAATACAAATACAATAATATTGGATTTTCTGTATCACTGGAGTATGACAAATGTCCTTTTGAATATACAAATATCTATTGAATGCAAAATGAAATGAATATACAAATATCTATCGAATGCAAAATGAAATAATGGATAGACCTTATCCAGGCTGGGTCTCCCCATGTTTACTTTTAAATGCAAAATGAAATGAGTATTTATTGGAAACCACAAATTTAAATGGACATAGCAGATAGACTTGGGATTGGGCTCACTGTCTGAGATCAGATTCATACTCTGTTGTGAACCTCATGTGGTGACTTTCAAACACCCTAACAGTTTCTATAAGAGTACATAAGTATCTGCCCTGACCTGGACAGTCCAAGCTAGCCTGATATCATCAAATCTCAGAAGCTCAATAGGGCTAGTCCAAGCTCCTTCTGCACGCTGCACCCCCAGCCTGCTGAGCACCTCAGGGGAGAGAAGGCAAGAAGGGGAAGGGAGAGCGGGTGGTCTCCTTCCCTCCCTTCTGGTGTGGGTGGGGGAGAGAAAGTAGTGGGTGGAGGGGAGGAGGCTGGCTTGGTGTTCACTCTGCATGGGCTGCCAGCCACCAATAAGTTAGGAGATGGGCCTTGGCGGTAAGTTGGGGGGCAAAACGAAAAGCACTGTGTGTGTGGGGGAGAATGAAGAACCCAGCGCATGC